CCAAAAAAATACTCATTCACTATTCACCCTTAATCCTTTGTTCTTCAAAGCTTTACAGCAGTAATGTTATGATCATAGAATCATTTAGGTTGTAAAAGACCTTTAAGATCATCAAGTCCAACCATTAACCCAGCACTGCCAAGGCCACCACTAAACCATGTCCCCAAGCACCACATCTCCCCGGCTTTGAAATACCTCCAGGGATGGGGATTCAACCACTTCCCTGGGCAGCCTGTTCCAGTGCCTGAGTACTTTTTCAGTGAAGAAGTTTTTCCTAATATCCAACCTAAACCTGCGCTGGTGCAACTTGCGGCCGTTTCGTCTTGTCCTATCCTTACATGCTTACACCACAGCCACAAAAATGACTTTGAGAGAAAAATGTGTAGAGCTCTATGCCAGATGGTTTCCTGAGCCAGATTTGTTAAAAGTTAGCAAGGAGACTGGGGGAAAATAACTGAAGACTGTAAGCATGCTCAAGTGACTTGCAGCTGGGGTGTAGAAAAATGCATATATCATATGAATTGTTGTTTAGCCTTGTGTGTTTGACAAGTAGAACATCTAGGTTTAGATAACATAGGCCTGTGATAGACTTCTGAGGCATCCTGTTGAACATGCTTGAGACTCCTGCCCTGCTACAGGAAAAGTCAAAGCACAGCGGTAAATTATGCCTGTGCAAATCCCTGAAAAACAGGTGAAAACAGCAGGTTCGGTGATCTTCTAGCACGGACCGAGCTCCGCGGTGCTTGCATCCCCACTTGTGTGCCTCTGCCCAGGTGCTGCTTTGGGGATCCCCTGGTTGGTGAGGCAAGGAAAATAAATTTACTCTGCATTTCATCCATGGTTTTGTGGTTGTTCCCACGTCCTGCCTGTGCCGGCTCACACAGGCGGTTAGCCCTACTCCGCAGGCCTGCAGAGCACACGTAGTCTTATTTCCCCCCATCTACAATGCAAGAAGGAACCAAGCGTAGAGCGCAGGATGCCAGGCAACAGAACGCAAGTTTGACAGAGCAGATAAGAAACTGGCTTAGCTGTAAATCATCTTAAACTGACTAAAAGAAAAAAAAACACAACAGCAAAGAGAGAAAGTGAGGATTTAAAAGACGTGACTCACTGCCCTGATATTGCTCATTTATATCAGTTATCATTATTTGTGAAAGGTTGCGGCTGGAGATTGGAACATTCTTGCTAACCCTGATTTTAAGGTTTCAGCGTAATGGTGTGCAATTAAAGCAAAACCAGCCAAGGTGCTCTCAAGAACAGCAGTCACATTCATTAGATAGCATCTTCATCCCATGCTGAACAACAAGACAGAACTCTTTGGGAAATGCCCTCAAATCATGTTGAAAATGCTGAATTCAAGACCCCTCTGAATTAGCTACTGGTCTCACTCAAGACTAAACAGCTGCCATCTGCCTTTGTGAACAAGAAAAAGGAAGCCAATTGTATGGACTCTGCACACCACAGAAGAGGACAGGCACTTCAGACTGAACCTCAGCAAGACACAAGACATTTAAAACAGTTTCTTCAGTGATGCCTGTTACCAGTGAGAGCTGCAGGAGTTTAACCACATCTAATGGAACACAAATGCTCTGTGGGTCCAAGCATGCTAGTATCAAGAAGGAAAGGTGGGCTGTAATGGTTTAATGGTCCTTATTAAGTTAAAAAGGGGAAGCCTAGCAAGGCAAAGCAAAGCAAAGCTTCAAGTCACCAGTGTCTGGGGAAGCACCTCACCAAGGAAGTGACGCCAAGCACACTGTGACCTATACCCTGGTGGAAACTCCAGCTCTTCTGACCACAGGCTGTTGCTGCAATACCACTTGTGGGGTCAGGCAGCACACACCTAGTCTTCAGTCCTGGCACCTTTGGTGTGGGAGAAATCACTGATGTTTCCAATTCTGGAGCTGGGCTCTGCTGAGATTGAGAGAGAGAGAGTGTTGGGACCTTTAGGAGACTAGGCAAGTGCAGAGCCCCCAGTGTTTGTGGGGAAGTGAAAAGGTTGGCAAGGGAAGGTGGGGACCAGCAACTGCTTTCAGTCCTGGCACCTTAGGTGTGGGAGCAGTCACTGGACATTTTGTATTTTGACTCTGGGCTCTTCTGAGACTGAGAGAGAGTGTTGAGGCAGTGGGGGACCAGGGCCTGACTGACTCGCATGGAGGTCACACAGGTGATGGGCCACCCCCTGCCTATCCCTATCCCTGTCCCCGTCACTGTCCTGTCACTATCCCCCACAGGTGTCCCGTCCCCATCCCTGACCCTATGCCTCACACCAGTATCATTGTTGTAGGTGCCATGTCCTCAGCCGTCTCCCCTCGCCATACCCCATCTTTGGGGGCATTCTCAGCCATCCCCCCTCTCCATACCCCCTTTTTCTGCAGTGCTGTGGGCAGGAGGTCACAATGATGGTGACAGTGGTGGCCAGTGTCACCATTTTAGGGCCAGTGGGGTCTTCACCCTTCCTGCCCCTCCTTGGATTTTGATGGTGACAGTGGTGGCCAGTGTCACCATTTTAGGGCCAGTGGGGTCTTCACCCTTCCTGCCCCTCCTTGGATTTGGGGTTGGCCAGATCTGTGCCGGGATCCAGCGTCGATGCCAGTGCCAGTGCCTGGTCCCGGCTCCTGATGGCACAGGTGGCGACGAAGCCGTCAGCTGTCATGCTCAGGTGGGACACGAATTGAACCAGCAGTCTGTGGCCGGACAAGATGATGGAGCACAGGGGGAAACAGGGTCGGTGGAGGGGGAATCTCTGTGTCCTCCCATATCCTGACAGTAGGTGAGTTTTGAGGCAGGGCAAGGTAGTTTTGGGGGAGTCCAGGTGGGTTTGAGGGGGTCAGGATGGTTTTAGGGGGGATCAGGCTGGTGTTGGGGAGTCAAGCTGGTTTTGGGGGGGATTCAGGCTGGTTTTGGGGGAGGTCAGGCTGATTTTAGGCAGGCTCAGGCTGGTTTTGTGGGAGATCAGGCCTGTTTTAGGGAGATTCAGGCTGAACCCTCTTTCTGAGGCCCCCTGAAACATGGCCATGGGACAGGGTGAGGCGCAGTAGCTTCTTCCCCCACCCTGCAAGAGGTCTCATGAGTGTGTAATTACAGGGAGGGACGATGCCAAAATCACCCAGCCCCAGCAAGGAGGAGGAGGAAGGAAGGAGGCCCAGGCGCAGCAGGGAGGAATGCTTGGGGTGCAGACGCCCTGTGAGGTGCTTTTATTTTGGGGAGGGTCATACTCACTATCAAAATAGTGTCAGGACTCCCCAGAAAAATGAGGTTTACTATTAGCACCCAAACACCACCATCCATGGGGGGACCCTACAAAAGGTCCTGAGTGTTGGACTGGTATGGGAGGGATGCAGGGTTTGGGGGGCAGCCATGGGGTTTGGGGAGGCCATGCAAGCTTTTTCGGGGTACAAGGGGGGGGGGGGGGCCCCCCGCTGGCACTGAACCAGATGAGGAAACGGTGGCTGGCGGTGGCTTCGTCACCCTCCATCTGCAGCAACATCCAAATCCCAGCTGCCAGAAAAGCTCTGGGATGGAAACTGCCGCAGAAATGTCCTAGTAACAGAGCCCCTAGACTGTGACCCCTGAAAACTGAGAGGGAATCAAAGCGACTCAGAGGGTCCGGCTCCGGGTAGAAGACATGGAAAAGAGCATCACCACCTGGCCCTTGGGGACCTGGGGGACACAGGGACCAGGGGACATGTGAGGAGAGCATTCACAGTCTGGCTCTCAGGGTCCCGTGAGACATGAGAACGGTGGGGCATGAGGACAAAAGAGAAGAGTGTCGCCACCTGGTCCTCAGCAACCTGTGAGAGACAGGGGGACACGGGGACAGGGGGATGCAGGACAGCATTGCCACCTGGCCCTTGGGGACCTGTGGGACAGGAGGACATGGGGACACTGAGGGAGAGTGTCACCACCTTGTCCTCAAGAACCTGAAGGACGGGGGACCCTCAAGGACAGGAGAGTGAGGGGTTGCTGAGGGTCAAAGAACAACAGGTGTCAATCGCCACCACAACAGTGCACCGGCAGCAACATCACGCCAACCAAGACTCCCTGATTCCCATCCATAAGCTGATTCATCAACTGGAGAGCTAAGGAGTGATCAGCAAGACTTGCTCACCCTTTAACAGTCCCATACGGCCAGTGTGAAAATCTAATGGAGAGTTGAGACTAACAGTAGACTATTGGGGCCTGAATGATGTCACACTGCCGCTGAGTGCTGCCGTGCCAGACACGCTAGAACTTCAGTACGAACTGGAGTCAAAGGCAGCCAAGTGGTATGCCACAATTGACATCGCTAATGCGTTTTTCTCAATTCCTTTGGCCGCAGAGTGCAGGCCACAGTTTGCTCTCACTTGGAGGGGCATCCAGTACACCTGGAGTCAGCTGCCCCAGGAGTGGAAACACAGCCCTACCTTTTGCCATGGACTGATCCAGACTGCACTGGAACAGGGTGGGGCTCCGGAACACCTGCAATACATTGATGACATCATCGTGTGGGGCAACACAGCAGAAGAGGTTTTTGAGAAAGGGAAGAAAATAGTCCAAATCCCTCTGAAGGCCGGCTTTGCCATAAAACAAAGTAAGGTCAAGGGACCTGCACAGGAGATCCAATTTTTAGGAATAAAATGGCAAGACGGACGTCATCAGATCCCCATGGATGTGATGAACAAAATAACAGCCATGTCTCCACCAACCAGCAAAAAGGAAACACAAGGCTCTCTTGGGTGTTGTGGGTTTTTGGAGAATGCGTATTCCAAATTACAGTCTGATCGTAAGCCCTCTCTATCAAGTGACCCAGAAGAACAATTTCAAATGGGGCCCTGAGCAACGACAAGCCTTTGAACAAATTAAACAGGAGATAGTCCATGCAGTAGCCCTTGGGCCAGTCTGGGCAGGACAAGATGGAAAAAATGTACTCTACACTGCAGCCAGGGAGAACGACCCTACCTGGAGCCTCTGGCAGAAAGCACCGGGGGAGACTCGAAGTCAACCCTTAGGGTTTTGGGGTCAAGGATACAGAGGATCTGAGTCCCTCTATACTCCGACTGAAAAAGAGATATTGGCAGCATATGAAGGCATTCAAGCCACTTCAGAAGTGGTTGGGACTGAAGCGCAGCTCCTCCTGGCACCCCGACTGCTAGTGCTGGGCTGGATGTTCAAAGGGAGGGTCCCTTCTACATATCACGCAACTGATACTACGTGGACTAATTGGGTCGCACTAATGACACAACAGGCTCAAACAGGAAACCCCAGTTACCCAGGGATCTTGGAAGTGATCATGGACTGGCCAGAAGGCAAAGATTTGGGAATATCGCCAGAGAAGGTGATGCATGCTGAGGAGGCCCCACTGCATAATAAACTGCCAGAAAATGAGAAGCAATATGCCCTGTTCACTGATGGGTCCTGTCATCTTGTGGGAAAGCACCAGAGGTGCAAAGCTGCTGCATGGAGTCCTGTACGACAAGTCACAGAAAGTGCTGAAGGAGAAGGTGAATCAAGTCAGTTTGCAGAGGTGAAAGCCATCCAGCTGGCTTTGGATATTGCTAAACGAGAAAAGTGGCCAGTACTTGATCTCTATACTGATTCATGGATGGTGGCAAATGCCTTAGGAGGGTGGTTGCAGCAATGTCAGCAGGGCAACTGGCAGCACAGAGGCAAACCCATCTGGGTGGCCGCATTAGGGCAGGATATTGCTGCCCGGGTAGAGAACCTGGTTGTAAAAATACATCACGTAGATGCTCACCTACCCAAGAGTCGGGCCACTGAAGAACATCAAAGCAACCAGCAGGTGGATCAGGCTGATAAGATTGAAGCGGCTCAGGTGGATCTGGACTGGCAACACAAGGGTGAATTATTTCTAGCTTCGTGGGCCCATGACACCTCAGGCCATCAAGGAAGAGATACAGCATAGAAATGAGCTCGTGATCGAGGGGTGGACTTGACCATGGGCACTATTGCACAGGTTATCCATCAATGTGAAACATACACTGCAATCAAGCAAGCCAAGTTGTTAAAGCCTCTGGCATGGAGGGTGATGGCCGAAATATCAATATGGGGAGGCCTGGCAGATTGATTATATCAAACTCCCACAAACCCAGCAAGGCAAGCACCATGTGCTTACAATGGTTGGATCCACTGGATGGCTGGAAACATATCCCATGCCCCATGCCACCGCCTGGAACACTCCTGGGCCTCAAAAAACAAGTCCTACGGTGACATGGCATCCCAGAAAGAACTGAGTCAGATAATGCGTCTCATTTCCGAAACAACCTCATAGACACCTGGGCCAAAGAGCATGGCACTGAGTGGGTATATCACAACCCCTATCACATGCCAGCCTCCAGGAAAATCAAATGATACAATGGACTGTCAAAGACTACACTGAGAGCAATGGGTGGTGGGACATTCAAACATTGGGATACACATTTAGCAAAGGCCACCTGGTTAGTCAACACTAGGGGATCTGCCAATCGAACTGGCCCTGCCCAATCAAAACTTTCACATACCCCTAGAAGGGAATAAAGTCCCTGTAGTGCACATAAAAAAATATGCTGGGGAAGACAGTCTGGGTTTCTCCTGCCTCAGGCAAAGGCAAACCCATTTGTGGGACTGCTTTTGCTCAAGGACCTGGGTGCACTTGGTGGGTGATGCAGGAGGATGGGGAAGTCCAATGTGTACCTCAAGGGGATTTGATTTTGGGTGAAAATAGCCAAAGAACTGAATTGTATGGTATTAAGTGCTATATAATAGTGTATATCATCACTTCTATGGTGGCTATATGCCCTATCAACGGTACTACACTAAGAATCACCTGGATTAATGAAGAATGAACTTTGATGAAACCAAGCAAAGTGCAGCGGTGATGGAACCAGAACTAGCTTCAGCATGCAACAATCCAACACCACACACAATCTTTCCTGCCATGAAAGACTGTTATGACAGATGGAGCTCGAAGTCATAGACTAAATGAACTCAATGGACATTTTAGAGGGATGGCCCATAGACTAAGGGAAGGATATCAGTGTGCATAGATCAAAAGAGAGGAAAAGTGGTGGTGATTAATTGGAATGTATTGGAAAGGGTAGGACCTGTGCATGATGTAGACGGTATAGAACAAGGGGTGGACACTGTCCTGGTTTTGGCTGGGATAGAGTTAATTTTCTTCTTAGTAGCGGGTACAGTGCTGTGTTTTGGATTTAGGATGCGAATAATGTTGATAACACACTGATGTTTTAGTTGTTGCTGAGCAGTGCTTACGCTGGTCAAGGACTTTTCAGCTTCCCCTGCTCTGCCCGGTGCACAAGAAGCTGGGAGGGGGCACAGCCAGGACAGCTGACCCAGACCGGCCAAAGAGCTATTCCGTACTGTATGACGTCATGCTCAGTATATAAACTGGGGGGAGTTGGCCGGGGGGCAGCGATCGCTGCTCGGGGACAGGCTGGGCATCAGTCAGTGGGTGGTGAGCAATTGCATTGTGCATCATTTGTTTTGTATATTCTTTTATCATTATCTATATTATTATTATTATTTTCTCTTCCTCTGCTGTACTATTAAACTGTCTTTATCTCAACCCATGGGTTTTACTTTTTTTTTTTTCTGATTCTCTCCCTTATCCCACTGGCAGGGACACAACCTCGTTTTGCAGCAAAACTGCTGCTGCTCCCCAGGGACTTCATTTGGGGCTTATGGGTTCACAAAGGATGTGGCGGCAAGGGGGGAGAAAAAAAACAAAAGACAAAAAAAAACCCAAAACCAAAACCCAAGAGCAGTGGGAAAAAATGGCCAATATCTGCACAGTTCCTTGTTACCTTTTCACATCACATTTCCAGCAGCCTCCACCTCAACCTTACACCTGCACAAAGCATCTATTTTCTTTCTCCTGCACCCCTGTGTAGTGCTCTTAACAACACAGATGTGACTCAGCACAGCAAACGCAGGTTTTGTTTTCTTCCTTATGATCCTGTATAATTAGCAAGGCTTAATTTTGATCATTAGCTCAGTAAAAAAGCCAAGTCTAAAACACAAATGAAAGTTCTGAAGATGGATCAAATACTGAAAAGTTAAAAATAATTTAAGAGTCTTTCACTTTCTGTGAACTGCAGTTTCCCCAATAAAATGTTGCAAACTCTCATTGCAAGTGTGGAGGAACGCTCATTCCAATTACAATATTTAAAATGTCAGTGTCTCAAGAATTGCCCCTTCCTTTGAAGAAATGTATGCAATTTTGATATGAACTGATTAAAAAAAACCACAAAACCAAAACAAAAAACTACAAGTTACACAAAAAATAACAAACTACTACAAAAGTAGTTACAGAAGTGCCAGTTGCAAAGCCAAGGCAGACTCCTAAGTGCAGTTTTCTCTCCATTCCTCATTGCTGGATCATCTGGTTACCTCCAGAAATCTCTCTCCACAATCTAGTCTTAAGAAAGAAAACTCATTTTTTATCATTGCTTCACGTATATAACCCCAAAGGTTTCTGACAGTCCCAACCTGAGGCTGTGCTATCAACATTCACTTTGCTAGAGGGACATCCACATTCAGAACAGCAACCCAAAATTGACAGTGTTGCATGCCATCATTTGATAAAGATGCTCTACTGCTTTACTCATTTTTGTTTGTTTTTTTTTTCTTTAAAGTTGATGTTTGTAATATGTGCCCATAAGTTTGCAAGTTTATAAACAGCAGCATCCCAAGAAAATATATGTTGTATTCCCTCACTTAGAGGGGACACAAGAAAAACACACATGAAATACCAATCAGTGACGGGAAATGGCTAAATGATGAAGCACATTAAGATCAAACATTGCTATTTAAGCAAATTCATTATCGCAGTTTAAAAAAAAAATCTATATATTACTGAACAACATGGCAAGTTGCATCTCAGTGTAAAATTACGACTGCCTACCGCCCCTAAAGTTAAATACTTAACAGTCAAGGAAAAAAGCAACCACATGCTCATTTCTTGCCTCTTAGACTCTATTGTGAAAAATAAAAGATACAGACAAAGGTTTTGAAACCAAATTGGGACACTGAACAGCCTATATCAGCTGCCTAGCATTTCCTCAGCCTTCCAAGTTCACATCATCTTGTGAAATCAGAGTTGATTTTTTTCCAAGTTAACCTACTGTCTCACAGATTATCAACTCTCCCTTCTTTTCCACCTAAAATGAGAGTTTGTTTTTACCTTATTTGTGTTAAATTTTTAAGTCAACTTTTATGGTCAGATTTTTTTTCTATCAATCCGCCATATGAAGTTTAGCAAAGGTTTCTTGCTGTTTCAATAGCCTTTGACTCAAGGCCCGCTCCCTGAAATCACTGTTCTATTTAGAGGCTCATACACAAATACCTTTAACTATAAGCCAACATAACCACCCTTCCAAATAAGGTTGGCCCTACATGTTTTCCCATCTCACTTATCCAATTTAAGCATTACTAACCGATTTTTTGTCTGTCAATGAGGACAATCAGTCATTCTTTTTGGCATCCCACAGGGACAAGTTCCCCATCCTGGTGCTTTTCCTCCCCTCTCCTACCCCTGAAGAAGTCTGTCCTCTTCTGTTTGTCTCTCCTCTCCGGTTTCCAGATCACCAGTTTCTAACACCCTCTTGGTACAAGGGATTCAGAATTTGTATTTGTCTTCCAGCCAGCCTCATGCCACCACCATCTGCTTCTCGCAGCTCTGCCATCCACTTGCTCGGGGCTAACATTTGCTTCCTGCGCCTCTGACACCAGCAGCAATTGCCCCATCACACATCCTAACCCCCAGGCTTCATCTGGGTGTCATCCTCGCCTCATTCACTTTCTCCATCTGCAGTCCCTAGGGCTAGGACAAAAAAAAAGTGGTTCACAAAAGCAGTGTGAGCTCATCAGACAGAGTTCTCTAGAGCAAAGATAATCTTTATGTAAGATTTTTTTTTTTTTTAACCTGATGTACATTTGTGCTGCTGTACAAACAGCAAATAAAATCATGAGAATGACCAGATTCCAGCCTTGGGGAAAATAACGTTTAACCATAGGAAGTTCAGTATTTCTCTCTCAATCTATAAACATCTTACGCTAGACTCTCAAAACAACTTTCACTGTAGCATACCTTGTTACTTATTTTTAATGTCCTTGCTTGTAGCCCATTGTCTGATTCACAGAGCTTGAAGCAATCTGGCAGCTGATGCCAGGAGCAGCTTTAGTGCAACCCATTTGCAGACAAAATCTTTCACAAAAGACCACAAAAGGTAAGGAAGTGGCAGTAAAAACGTGCATTTCTACTAGTCTTGCTTTGGTAGGTCACTGAGAACAGTTACCTTTGTTTTACTGGTCTCACCAGCTGCAAAAGCTCAGTCTGCTCGGTAGGCTGCACGCGGATAGAGCTCCTCCTTGCTCCTCCTCAAAGACCTTGCAATGCACAGACTAAAAGAAATAGCACTTCAAAGCCCTGTGACAGCTAAGTCTTGGCACAGCTAATCAGCTTTCTTCTTCCTCCTGTAATTACAGGTGTTATAACTTCCAGAAAACCTCAGAAAAAACAGTTAACACAGGGAAGTCCCTCTCAATGTGGATCTGCCGAAACCTCAACTGGACATGTGCACAATTCTGCTCACCCGCCTTCTAGAAAGATAAAGTAAAACTAAAAGCAGTGCACACAAATGTCATTAGCATGAACGAGGAAATAAAAACCCAACCAAAGGAGACTGAAAGAGTTCATCTTGCTTCACCTAGAAATTCAGAAGACACCAGAGTGCCTAACTTCACTGCTGCTACTGCAAATCTGTTCTTGAGGACAAAAAATACTCTTCTGACTTGAGCTTGTATTTTTTTAGCAGTTAGTTACCTGT